AGCTGGCGGAGCAGTTGGCCGCGCTGGAGAGTGGCCCATTCTTGGAGGGCGACAGGCTGTTCAAACAGATCTCATCCTCAACCCGCATCAGTACCTCCTTGGAGGAACCACCAGAGCTGGAGTTTAAGCCCCTCCCTCCTCATTTGGAGTATGCATTTCTCCGAGAGGGGAATAAGCTGCCAGTCATCATCAGCTCGACCCTCACACCCGAGCAGAAGGACAGACTGGTGGCCTTGCTGAAGCAGTACGAGCGAGCTCTAGCGTGGAAGATCACAGATATCCGGGGGATCAGCCCCTCCTTTTGCTCCCACCGGATACTGCTGGAGGATGAGATGCGGCCAGTGAGACAGCCGCAGAGAAGACTGACACCGAACTTGGAGGCTGTGGTTCGGGCAGAGATCGTGAAGCTAATGGACGAAGGGATCATCTTCGCCATTTCCGACAGGGAGTGTGTCAGTCCCACCCAGGTGGTACCCAAAAAGGGTGGTGGTTAGACTGGCGGGGCACGGGTTCTACTGTTTCCTAGATGGGATGTCCGGGTACTTCCAGATTCCCATTGCACCGGAGGACCAGGCGAAGACCACTTTCACCTGCCCCTTCGGCACATTTGCCTGCCAGAGGATCCCATTCGGGCTGTGCAATGCCCCAGCCACCTTTCAGCGATGCATGCTCGCCATCTTTGACCGTCTGGTCGGCGAGATTGTGGAGGTGTTTATGGACGATTTCTCGGTTTATGGAGACTCATTCTCTCACTGTCTCAATAACCTGGAACTCGTCCTTAAACGGTGTGAAGAAACGAACCTTGCACTGAGTTGGGAGAAGTGCCACTTCATGGTTCGAGAAGGCATAGTTCTTGGGCATAAGATCTCCAAGATGGGGATTGAGGTGGACAGAGCAAAGATTGAGACTATCAGCAAGCTGCCTCCTCCTACATCTGTTAAAGGGATCCGGAGTTTTTTAGGCCATGCAGGGTTCTACAGGCGGTTCATCAAGGATTTCTCGAAGATCGCCCTGCCCCTGACTAAGCTTCTTGAGAAGGATGCCCCTTTCCAGTTTACTGATGCATGCACAACGGCGTTCACAACCTTGAAGGAGAAGCTCACCCAAGCTCCTATCATGGTTGTTCCTGACTAGTCCCTACCATTTGAGCTGATGTGCGATGCCAGTGACTTTGTTGTTGGAGCTGTCTTGGGGCAGATGCGAGATCAACACTTCCGACCTATCTACTACGCCTCGAAGACCCTAAATGATGCCCAGGAGAACTACACCACCACGGAGAAGGAGCTACTCGGTGTTTGCCTTCGATAAATTTCGTCCCTATCTGGTCTTGTCCCATGTGACCGTGTACACCAACCACTCCGCGATTCGATACCTGATGAGCAAGGCCAATGGCAAGCCTAGGCTCATACGATGGATCTTATTATTGCAGGAGTTTGACATTGAGATTCGGGACAAGAAGGGAGCGGAGAATGTTGCAGCCGATCACCTTTCTCGAGGAGGAAATCAACGACTCCTTCCCAGATGAGAGATTGATGATGATGTGCCTGGTGGAGAGTGTCACCCCCTGGTATTCCGATTTTGCGAACTATTTGGTGGGCCAGTAGGTGCCCAAGGGGATGACAACTCACACCAAGAGGAAGTTCTTCTCCGACCTCAAGCATTACTTCTGGGATGACCCTCATCTCTTCAGGATCGGAGCCGACGGGATCATCCGTCGCTGTGTTATGGAGAGTGAGATGGAGGGCATTCTATCTCACTGTCATGAAGGACCTACTGGCGGTCACCACGGAGGAAACCGCACGGCGAGGAAAGTGCTCTAATCGTGCTTTTACTGGCTCACTCTCTTCAAGGATGCAGACGCCTTCGCATGCAGGTGCGACCGATGCCAGAGGTCAGGTAACATCTCTGCCCGTGATGAGATGCCCCAGAATGTGTTTATAAACTGCAAAAAAATTTATGTCTGGGGTATCGAGTTCATGGGCCCTTTTCCTCCATCTTTTTGGCAATACCTATATCTTGGTTGCTGTTGACTACGTCTCTAGGTGGGCTGAGGCGCAAGCTTTGCCCACTAATGATGCTAGACGTGTTTTTGGTTTTCTGAAGCAAATATTCTCCCGGTTCGGGACACCTAGGGCCATCATAAGCGATCGAGGCACCCATTTCCAGGGCCAGTTTGATAAGTTACTGTCTCGCTATGGTGTGACTCATAAGGTGTCCGTGGCCTACCACCCTCAAACAAGTGGCCAGGCTGAGCTGACGAACCGGGAGCTCAAACGTATCCTGGAAAAGACGGTGGATCAGTCCCGCAAGGATTGGTCCACCAAGCTCGATGATGCTCTCTGGGCATATCGCACTGCCTACAAGACTCTCATTGGTACTTCACCGTACCGGCTTGTCTATGGAAAGGCATGCCATTTGCCCGTGGAGTTAGAGCACAAGGCCTTTTGGGCCCTTAAGCTGCTCAACTTGGATATTAGTGTTGCAGGTATTGAGCGCAAAATGCAGATGCTGGAGATGGAGGAATGGCGTTACCATGCTTATGAGAACACCAAGTTGTACAAGGAGCGCACTAAGCGCCTGCACGGTGCATGGTTGCGGGGTCCGAAAGAGTTCCAGGTTGGTGATCGAGTTCTCCTTTATAACTCTCGCCTGAAGCTCTTTCCCGGAAAACTCCATTCCCGTTGGTCTGGACCGTTCACGGTCACACAGGTGTTCCCGTATGGCACGATTGAGATTACCAACCCGCAAACTGAGCCGTTTAAAGTAAATGGCCATCCTCTCAAGCTCTATTTGGGAGGCGAGGTCGAACGTGCGGAGTTGGTAGTGGAATTAGCGAACCCTTAGTTCCGCCATGGGCATCCAGCTAAAAGACGGTAAAGAAGCGCTTGTAGGGAGGAAACCTCACCTCGGTTTGCATTTTCTGACCTTTTTCCTTTTAATTTTTTGTGGTTTTTGAGTCTTGAGGTGTTGTCCAAGAGTCTAATGTCTTTTTTGAGTGAAAACAGGTCGAATTAGGGGGTTCTGGCAACCCACACGGCCAGTCCTAAACCTCACACGACCGTGTGGTATTTGGTTTTAGCCGTGTGGAGTCCCTGGACATCTCACACGGGCAGGAGGGGTCCATCACACGGCCGTGTGGATTTTGGACCCTGCCCGTGTGCAGGCTCGACAATTTTCACACGGCCGGTTTTGCATTCCACACGGCCGTGTGAAAATTCTCGGCCAGGCCGTGTTGGCCCACACGGGCACCACTGCACCTCACACGGCAGTGTGAGTTGCCCGTGTGGCCGAGCCCAACCTTTAAAAATTGGACGACACGACCGCGCGGCCTGAAACCCCCAAACCCCCTCGCCCGAATCCTCTCCCCCTCGCCGGAATCCTCTCCCCCTTGCCGGAAAACCGCGACCTTTCGCCCTCTTTGGCGATTTTCGGCCATTTTTGGTCGGTGTTTCACCGAGCCACCTCCACACCCATCCTTTTCTCCCCATTTTCTGCCTATCCCTCGACTTTGAGGCGATTTGGACCGACTTTGAGTCGCTGGAGGCAATTTCTGGCGAGACTCAGGCGAGGCTCCGACGAGCAATTCCGAGCAGATTTTGGGCTTTTTGTCGCTTCCATTGCCTTCCCCTCATCATCCCCTACACCTCTACTTGTGTCTCCAGGTTTGATTTTGACCTTAACCTTGTGAATTGTGTGCAATTTATTGAGGGGAAGACTTGGTTTTTGTGTGAATTATGTTGGGCAATGTTCCCCTTGCTTGTTTGAGCCCTTGTGTGCAAGAAATTTGTCAATTCCATGCTTAACTTAATAGTGCACACAAGGTGTTCGATGAAATGTCAGTTTTTCATACCATGTTGTGGGAGCCGGTTGGGGCCCTTAATGATGTGCTTTGAGGGTGTATTTGCTATGGATGTGAACCTTAAGTTGCCTACTTTATCTTGGATGTGCACCCCCACCCAGATTATGCTTGTTTGATCGAGTTATTGACCCCCGAACTATGGATGAAACCATGGTTCGGCTGTTTTCTGTTCTTAAGTGTGGGGGTGTGATTAACCTTCCCTTTGGCTCTTTTGGCTCCACTTTGGGTTGTTCTTTTGCAGGACCATGACGAAACCCGACCTCAAGCACCCGTTCATCCGGGATTTGAAGAGGGGCCCCCACCAGGATCGTTTTAAGCTCATCCTGCAATGCTCGTTTGGGCATCATCATTGCTGGTCCAGGTGGGAGTTTGAGAAGCTGCACTGCTACGAGCACTTCTCCGCCATTGTCACCAACCGCCCTTGGCGCCGTCTGCTCTCCATTCGCGAGAAGGTTTACCACGAGCTCGTGCTTGAGTTCTACGCGACCTTCAAGCACCACGACATAGAGGATTGGGCAGACGGTGAAGCCGTCAAGTTCAAGCTCGGCGGTGCACCCCGCTCCATGAACTACCATGATCTGGCGACCGCTCTCGGCCTCGGCCTGGCCAATAATGAGGACTAGAGTTGTACCAGCACAGTTGTAATTCTTGAGAGGGAGGTTTTGCAAGTTGCAACTCCCCGTGCTTAAATGCAATTTTTGATTAACCATAAAAAAAACAAGTAATTAACACCTCGCAAAAGACAGCAAAGAAGCTTGAGCTGATATCATTCCTTGGCCCAGTACCACCCTCTTTGTACCATCTCACTACTGTGGCCATATCTCCGGCTCACATGTGAGGCTGTGCAAGTCAAGCCCCTTCACAGAGTCGTCGTCGGCGGACACAAAAACCGAGCCGCCACCCCTTGTAATTTATTTTCCCTTATTCCCAACATCTTTAATCGTCTTATCAAATCGGAGTCGAACCGTAGCTCAACACGGATTTGTGCAAGGTACATTAATCATGCTTCTTAAACCCTTGCTGCTACGCCTCCTTTGTCTTCCTCTTAAAGAAACAAAACCATACTTTAAGAAGTGCAAATTCTTCTATATGTTATCCAGTTTTTTTGTAGCAAACGGAGCGCTAAGGGGCACCCCAACTCTTAATTAATGACCAATCGAGGGGTCTGAACCCCAATAGTGTCGTAATACAACCAGTAACCCAAACTCGGGTCAGGAATGTCAATCATATGTAACCCAACAGGAAGCGGGTGACCCCGGGAAGCCAGAAAATCGCCTACGAAATTGCCCTCCCAAAAAACATGTTCAATAGTGACCTCCCACTCTAGGGACAGGAACCGTCGATTAGACTTCAAAAGCATACGATGCGGGTGGATCGAAGGATCCTCCTGTATCAGGGAGACCGTCGTCACCGAGTCAGTCTGAAATGCGAGCTTCCGAATCCCCATGTCCCAAGCAATACGAAGTCCCTGCTTGATGCCTGCAAGTTCTACGTGGGTGATTGAACCGTCGCCCAAGTCTGTCGAGAAGGCCGGCAGCATCCGTCCATCTTCTCTTCTTATCAATCCTCCTGCAGCAGCACTGTTTTGAGATAGAAGCACTGACCCATCCGTGTTCAGGTTAGCCCATCCAATCGTCGGACGTTGCCAGCTGATGTTCCTAATGCACCTCTGGCTATCTCCTCCTGTGAAGCTATGCGACGCCTTAAAAGCTAGGGAAACCTGGCTTCAAATTAACTTTATACGCGCAGCCAGCTACATAGGTGCCGCCAATTGTTTCTCAAAAACCCAAGCGTTGCGATTTTGCCACAGTTGCCAGCAAACCAGGGTGAAGGTTGAAGCATCCACAATGGGGCTGCGATCTGTCAAGTAGTGGAGACCAACGTGGAATGTCCGCCTAGAAAAAGTCTCGATCGGGTTCATCTGCCAAGAAATGCGACCACACGTCGCGAGCATAAGCATAGTCGCGCATGACAAGGATCAAGGTCTCCAGACCTCCTCCTCATATGGGACACTCATCCATTGTCGCCAAATGACGACGAAACCTTTCTGCATTTGTAAGTAACCTGTTGTGAAGCACCAACCAGAACAAGGTTTGTGTTCGCTGTGGCCCCGGGATTTTCCAAACAGCCTTTTAAGTTGGGTTATGTTGTACCTCGTCTCCATCTACCCTCATAAGAGCATATGTCATCTGCAACGTGAATTTGCCTGACTAAGAAAGCCTCCAAGTGGGAATATCCGGGCCCTCCTCGAAAGGTACCGGGTGGAGTTGGAGCTGCGCAGTCAGCGGCTCAGGGAGGAAGACACGAACAAACTCCAAATTTCATTGGCCGTTCAAAACCATCTCTGCTACTGTCAAGTCCCTAGCTTCTGCCGGAAGATTAGTTGCGAAATTTTCAAGCGGCGACCCATCCTGCAACCAAACATCAGACCAAAACTGGGTTTGCATACCACTTCTTATATTCCATAGTGTACCCTCCGACACATAATGGAGCACACGCAAAACACATCTCCAGAGGTTGGATAAACGGCCGGAGACTCGTGGTTGCCAACCCCTCTCCGTTTCTCTGAGATACTTCCCCCGAACGACTCTTGCCCACAAGCTCTCAGGTTCGGTGAGTAGGCGCCAGGCTATTTTTATCATGAAGGCGTCGTTCATTCTTGTCGCGGTGCGCAATCCTAGACCTCCCTCTTCTTTCGGCTTTCAAACCGTATCCCAGTCAACAAGGTGGATCTTCCGGGCTTGTTCCGAGCTTCCCCAGATGAACCCCCTGATCTTCCTATCAATGTACTCTCGACCCGATGTAGGGAGGAAAGCCATTTGCATGGTATAAGCCGGCAGGAACTCTATGTTATCCAATTAATCCTCGATCAATATTTACTCTCATAAAATTTGATTTTCATTATTTATATTTGAATTAAATATAAAAAGGTAAAGAGTGGATAAAAGATCAGCTTAGTTGAACTGCGGAAGTAGTAATAAAGGAGTAGTTGGGATCCCATCGTTGGAATTGTTTGTTATAAATAACTCAATATCCCTATGATGCCATCACAACTTTTAGCAATTATTTGTTGCATATAAAGATGTGTTTTCAATAGTACATATTAACTTATATGATTGTTGGTGGTTTTTACATAATAGAACTTCTCCAGATGACTATAATTGTGCTTTAATCTGGGGTGGTCGAGCAATCACAGTATTATACAACAAACTTCAGCAGAGCTTCAAACTTTTGCAGGATTCATGGGTAAACTATGACTCAATGTATGACTAAATAATAACAATAATTGAACTACTATGCTGGGCTCATTCAATTAAATGACAATTTTTTTTTATTTTACTTGACTTACAACATAACATCAACTATTTAAAAATATGATAACAATTTATAAATTATTTTTTTGTTTGCCAACGAGATAGTGGTATTAGATTATGCAATTAACTACTTTTAAGAGCTATCATATCTCTTGAATTTTGAAATATTGATATTCAATTAAGTTTATCCAAACTTTCAAGAGTCATAATTATCTAATTATTATTCAAATAAATACCCACTAAAATCGTCAAACCCATCTACCATTCGTTGCAGCTATTTATGTTTTTTAGGGGCTAAAAAACTAAAATAGCCTTAAAACCCCAAAAATTTCTCCTCGGGTTGTGGTTAGCCTTAGTTAGGAATGACAATGGGGCAGGTCCAAGGCGGGTTTCTTTTACCCAGACCCGTCCCTTGGCAGGTCGAGCAATTTATTACGGGCTGCGGGTCGGGGCTGGTCGACCCAATGGGTATGCAATTGATATGAAAAACATTAAAAATATTCGTTATTTTTTTATAAGACCAAGAAAAAAATTAATATTATGATAAATTTAGTTAAATTATTGGAAAAATTGAGGTTTTCAGTATTGTTATAAGAACTGAACCAGATCAACGACTCGACCAGTATAACTTTCAAACCAATTACAATAGCGGTTTGGTTAATTGCTTGGACGGTTATTGATGAACCAAACGATTTTTCATGGTTCAACATAAAATCAGATGAACCACCATGGTTTAACTGGTCTACTGGATCACTATTTTAACAAACAAAAAAACATACTTTAACGTAAACTAAGACCATCAAACCATAATTATTAATTTAATATATGTTCCTCTTCTCATTTCAACCTTGTTGTCGACTTTATGTTGTCCACTACCGAATGACATCGTCATTTTTAATTTCAATTTTAAAAAATATGATTTCTTTTGTGAGATGGTTTGAATGACTTTCGAGATGCGTGAATACATTTATTTCAAGATAGATTTCTGGACAAACTAGCGAGGAGTTGACTCCCCAGGAAGGGAACAAAGAGCAACAGACTTCGCTTCGATCCCTACCGCTCGCAGTTCAATCCCCGTCGTTCTCCCATCAATAAATGGACTATTTGTTTCGGAGACAGAACCATCGAAAGAATCTCGGAGACCCACCAAAGCACGAAAGTCGGGATCTTTCAGAAAATGGATTCCTATTCGAAGTGTGCATAACCGCAGTCTAATGCTGACGAAAGCCCCTACCCAAAGAAGTGCAACATGAGAAGGAGCGTTTTCCGTTACTAGGAATAAGAACAAGGAGAAGCAAGAACCACTTAAATAGATGATTTATTAGATATTTTGGTGATTATATGAATTTTAAATTGTTTACGGTCAATGATAATTTCATTCTTAAATTAGTGTAAGATACAAGTCTTATCTATCTATCTATCTATCTATCTATCTATCTATCTATCTATAATATTATGGCAATTCAAAAGTAATTGTTTGCCACCTAAGCACTTGGAGAGTTCACAAATTACCAAGGTGGACAATATTTTTACAAAAAGAAAAATAGTTATTGATATATGTATGGAGCTATCTCTCTCTTCATTTAATATTTTATTTCTCTTTTATCCTTTTTTTGTATTATATCAATGTACACAATAATAAATAATATATGAAAAGTGACATATATTACATTTTTTATCTCTAATTTATTTTTCTTTTCCAATACTTCCTTTATATTTTTGTTTTAATTTTGCATTGTATCGATGTACGCAACAATAGACTAATGTCTTTGAGTCACACATATAACTTTTTTCTCAACCAAAAAAATATCTTATTAAAGCTCATTAAGTAAATTTTTAACTCACTTTTACAATAATTTACAAATATGTTACATTTTAATGAACAATTTATACAAACACACATACATAATAACATTTTATCGCGACAAAATAAAGATGTAAATTAAAGAGAGAAAACAAGAAACGTTTGAATAGAAACTTGACCAATCAATAAAATCTATTTCTTAAACCAAAACCTTATTCATTCTAATTAAATGAAGACATATGAATCATAGGTGCAATAATTTACAATGTATCCTAAGTTTAAATTACGAATATTTTGCATTTTTGCTCTAGATCGTGTTAATTGAGCAAACTCTACTGAAGTTTTACGTCATATGTTAAGAAATTTAATTTTCAAACTTGGAGTAATAAATTTTCAAGGATTATAAATCAAAATTTTCAAAATGACTTCGGTATGATTGTTTAAACATCATGTGTTCATCAACCACTGACCTATGCATTGATCAAATAAAGGTTTAAAATCTATCTATCTGTTTATCTATCTATATATGGTAAATCAACAATAGTTTGTTGCCACATAAGCATTTGAAGAATTTACAAATTATCATGGTTGACACTTTTTTTACAAACACAAAAGTAAGTTAATGCTCAATTTATGTAGCTATCTCTATCTTCATTTAATGTTTTCTTTAGTTTTTATTTAATAATTCATTGTACCTTTTGTAGTATATATGTGTAGCAGCAGTATACTAATGTTTGGAGACTGACATGTATCGCGATTGTTTAAACAAAAAGATTTGAATAAATCTTATTAAGTAAATTTTCAGTTTACGTCATATGCTAAGTAGGTGTTAGGCCATTACCTTTTGATTTGTCGTCAGGAGAAGAAATTTTGAGTGAAGAAAAGCAAACCAAATAACGTGTGTTAAATGCAATAGAGAGTGGAGATACCTAAGTAGACGAAACTAACTATGTCAACAATTTGGTGGCGCATGTGAGAAATGGTGCAGGAGGACAATTTAAAATTCAGCTGGCGATGTTCCTATATGGGCCGTGAATTGGTGGACAAAGGTGAGGATTGGACAGAGCAGATCTGGTATAGAACTTCAGTAGCGGTCGTGACAAAATGTGGGAGGAGACAACTTAGCAATTGATACATATTGATTAAATAACATTTAAATAGCTATACCTTTCAGTTTTTTTAAATTACTAGCCAAACCTTTCGAACTACAAATGATTAGCCAAATATTTTGTATCACATCAAAATATTAATCATTTGTTTGTTATCATTAATAATTTTGTAACTCTTTTTTAATTAAAATACTAAATTGGATTATAGACTGTCATGTGTCTCTTTCAACTCATCATCATGTTGTTGAGTCAACATTACTAACAAAAATGCTAACGGGGAGTTAACGTTTGGCTAATACTTTGTATTTTGAAT